ATCTATGACACTGTTCAATCTACATTATGTAGTTGATGATTTTTAATTCAGATATGGTTTTTGAAGCATGTTGTTTTCAATGACAGAGACTTAGGGTTTTGACTTGAGGGATATTATTGGGAAGCTCAGGGAAGTTTTTAATGTTTGATGTTTTATCGTGTTTTTAATATTCTGTTGGGGGCCACCCAGAGTGGCTGGGGAAACCCAGCCAGATGGGGGCAGGGTATAATTATAATTATTATTATTATTATTATTATTATTTCAAAGCATTCCTCTGCAGCCCCGTCAAGTGATATGGGCTCTGGCATCCAGGCCTCAAGGAGTTGCCCTCAAGGGGTTACGGTTGCATGTACATGCGCTCAGTGGACAATGCATTGGCCTACTTGGGCACAATACCTAAAAAAGACCACCAAGAGGAATGGGTAAGTCTCACAGCTCCCCTGGTACAAACGTAACATCCTGTTTGCCAAGGAGTGCCAGCAGCCCATAGACTCGACCGCTAAAACAAACACGCACACATTATCATCTGCAGTTTGTCTGCAGTTTACCAGATTTACAGAACAAAGCATCCTTTGGCCACAGTTTAATCAGAGATGTCAACACAGCCTGCATCTATTTTGCCTTTTTATAATGAGTCAACAAAGCACCATCTCCTCAGTTCTGATTGGTTTCTCTCCTATGACCCTCCAGAGATTGCTGGACTATAGTTCCCATCATCTCAGACCATTGGCTGCGCTGGCTGGATTTGATGGGAGTCTGACAGGTTCCCCAGCTGAACTGAGCCCCTGTGCTGAGGACATGCTGCCACTAAAGCACTGAAGAGGAGCCCCTGTCATAAGCTACGACACTGCACAAGGACCACATTTCTGTGCGTGTTGAATTTGAGCTTTACAGATACCACTGTAAATTGTAGTGCAAATAAGGAATTTGTAGATGATTCATGTTGCCAACTTTCAGTGTTTTGGATGATGGTCTAAAAATTCATTCTCACCTGTTAAGACACATTAGACAAGATCTCTTTATGGATAACAAGGCAGGACCCATTGTAATGCTTTCTTCAGAAGAGGAAGCAGGACAGCCATCCTTGCTGTGGAAACTGGTGCTAAGAAAGTGGGTGTGAAGGAGAGAGGATGATCAAGAGAGTCTTTGATTACGCTATATGTAATATATTAGCTGGCACTTCTATGTTTTCCTTTTTGTTAGATAGACAAATTTATTCTATTTTGCTTTTTTTTTTTAAAAAAAGACATAACTTCTGCTTTCTACATGGCTGCAAAATAAAAGATGAAATACTTTGGCAAAAGGAACTATGTTGGTAAAGATGCTGGGCTTCACAAACTTGAGTGCCACCTACTGGCTCTTTATCTGCTTACCAGAGATCCTCTGTAACTTTTTTTTTTATCTTTTAGGGATTCAGGGAGAAGGAAAGAAGAATATTTATAATGGGGGAGGGAATCTAGGTTCTGATAAATGACTTCCCCTAAAAATTTCATTGAATTGACTCAAATACTCATTTTAGTGAATGAAACCATTGCTGAGCTTTAAAGCACTTTGTGCAGTGCACAAGGATTAGGGAGAGCTACATTTATTGATCAAAGAGATCTGAAAGACCTAACAGTTGTGCTAAAAGATTTAAGCACGAAAAGGGTTTAAGTGCTAAAATGTTGTCAAAGTGTCATCATATACATATCAGCTCCTTCAGCATAAACCTGGTGCCCTTCCAGTTTTCCTTTTCAGGTTTTGCTTTTGGGCTTCCCATGGGTATCTGGTTGGCCACTTTGAGAACATGATGCTGGACTAGATGGGCCACTGGCCTCATCTGGAAGGCTCTTTTCATTGTGCTTCATGATTATTAGTGCTCAGGGCAGTTCTTCGCAATCCCACTTTCAACTCTCTTTGCACCTGTAAAAGTCTAATCAATGTATGTCCTTTCAAAAAGGCTTTCGAGAGATGGAAATAAGACAAAGTCCATACCAGAGAAGAATGGCAGATGAAGTTGATGGACTATGCTGAAATGGCTAAAATGACCAGAAGAATCAGAAATCAAAATTTTAATCAGGAATGGGGAAAATTTAGAACTTATTTTAAAGACCATTGTAAACAGTTAGAATCGGTAGTAGGATTGGAATATCACTTGTAGTTTAAGGGTACAATGGAGATGTAAAAGATTTGGACCATCATGGAAGGAAATGATTAATGACAGGACCCACAAAGGGGAGGATGGAAGTCCAGGAGATTCCTTGGAATCTTGTTTTTGATTATTTATGTTTGATATATCTCTGTAAAACTTTAATTTGAAAAACCAAATAAATAAATTTTTAAAAGCCAAAAATCTTTCGACATGGCACCTCACCAAAGACTCCTGAGTAAGCTTAGTAACAGAATAAGAAGAGAAATCCTCTTGTGGATCAGGAATTATTTGAGTAGCAGGACGCAGAGTACTTCTTTGAAAAAAGAGTTGGAGAAAGTGGAATCCCGCAAGGATTGTTACTGAGACCTGTGCCTTTTAGCTTTTCATAAAGGGACCTGTGCTTTTAAACTTTTCCTAAATAAGCGAGGTGGCCATGTTTGCTGACGATACTAACTTGGTCAGGGTTGTCAAAACAAAAGAGATTACAGAAATGATCTTTCCAAACTGAGTCAATGAATGGGAAAATGGCTAATACAATTCAATATAAAGAAGTATAAAGCAATGCATGCCAGGACAAAAAATAAATAAATCTTCATTTTGCATATATATTTTGGAAAAGGTTAAGAAAAGTAAAAACAAAATGATCAAGGGGATGGAGAAACTGCCCCAAGGGGAAAGCTTGTAGCATTTCAGACTTTTAAGTTTAGAGAAAAGGTAAGAGGCGCCATGATAGAAATTTACAGAACTATGCATGGCTTGGCAAAAGTGGATAGGAAAAGGTTTCCTTCCTCTCTCTCATAATGCTAGAATTTGTGGACATCCAGTGAAGCGGAATGCTGAAGGATTCAGAACAGATTTTTTAAAAATACTTCATGGGATGCAGCACATAGTTAAACTGTGGAACTCGCTCTCACAACTTGGATGGCTTTAAAAGAGGATTAGACAAAGACATGAAGGTTGGGTTTATCCATGGCCACTAGCCACAACGGCTATGCTTTTCCTCCATGGTCAGATTCACAAGCAGCATGAGCGACAACACCCTCCTTCCCAGCAGTTTTCAGTGACTGGTTGGTAGCCATTGAAGCCGCAAGGCTCCTGAACTGGTATGAGGCCCAGGCAAAGGGTTATGCGTTAGCCCAAGAGCACCTTCCTGGACAGGGGGAAGGGACTGGGCTTTAAGCCTTTTTTCCTCTTGCACTCTTCTAAGAATGAACTGTAATTCATATCTTATCTCCTGCTTTGAAAATGAACATCCTTCTATTCTTATCATCCTGTTTCTGTTTTGTAAAACATTTTTGATCCTCAGCCATATCCCTCTTGGCAATTACTGTTAAGTTGTTCCTGTTCGGTTATGTGCTGCAGTGGATTACCTTTATTTGGACTGATCCTCCTTTCCATGACCACACTGACGGAGCTCTCTTGCCCGTAAGCATAATCATTTTGCGGGGAGCCCTGCATGTTCTCCTCCAGCTTAACTGATAGCAAAGCAACATTCTGAGAAACCAGCTTTAAGAATAAAAGAAAGGCAGATTAAGGAGCTGTTTGGGCACTCAGAAATCTAGGCACCGGTGTGTTGTCTATCTGGCACAAATGGCAATGGAGGCCGGTCTACTGGGGAAAATGGGGCACTGCCCCACCAATCTCTATCTGCTCTCAACCACACCACCTTCCTAGCTTTCATACAGCTAGCCCAGACATGAATCTGACTGTCAGCTTCCTCCTCCTTAGTTTCAATGTAATCCTTGTAGAGCTCAGAAGGAAAAATCAAAACTGTGGCAGCACCTATGATTGGCTCTGGCTCCACCTACTGTTGGCCTCCTGCCTTACCCTGTGTGGAAAGCAATAAACAAATAAACAAAACAAAAAGTCACTCAATAGTCCCGCACTCTAACCACTGCACCACACTGACTCTGCATGTTGTTTTCAAAAGAATTCCATAACTGCTGGAAAGAATTCCATAACTGCTCCTAACATGTGTTTTGTAGGACAAATTCACGCTAAAATGGCCATATAAAACAAACTGATGTAGAAATGGGGAGAATTGGAGTTACGACTGGGAGGAGGAAAAAGTGTAAACTGAGAGTGAGAGATTCCAAATGGTTATAGAGGGTTTTATTATTTCACAGGAAGATGCTGGTTGCGTGCATTTCAGACTTGAGCGCTGGTCTCTGGCCTGTGGGTGGACTTCAGGTATTCCAACCTGAGCCTGCCAAGTTCAGACAGAGACTTTGCAAAGGAGATTCCGAGTGATGTTAACTGGAGCTGCGTCCATCTGGCAGTACAAATACTCTGACCTTAGCACTTCAGAATGCTCCTCTGCATTTGTTATGGTTTCCAAGGGTTGGGGGTCAGAGTTCTTCGTGAAACATGTTTTGTTTATGTTGGACACCAAACACAGAATAACTTGAAATGGGCGGGTGGGTGAGGGGAACAGAGCCAACTCCAGCAGAAATGTGAGCTTTATCTAAGCTGGATGAAATGAGTTTGCTGGCTTATTAGTGGAAAGTGCAGCTCTTGGCAAGCTGGAGCTCCTCAAAGCTTTGCTCAGAACCTTTTGAACAATGGATAGTTTTGGTACGGAAGGTCTTAAATCTTCTGTCCTCTTCATGAAAGCCATGATGACAACTTTTTAAAAAGAGAGGAGAGGAAAGAAAGAAAATATTCCATGTGGAAGGTGACAAAAACAAGACTGATCACAATCCAGTGTACTATAAAAGCCAGACGTGCCTCAACAGTTTGTGAATGGACAGGAATGTCATTTCCTTGGCATGAATTGCATGACTTGATGGAATTCCAGTCTCTTCTGCCATGCTGATTGTGCATTCATAGATGGGACTCTAGGCTATCCTGAAAAATAAGGTTATTTGACGGAATGAAGTAGCTCAGTTGGTAGAGAATGAGTCTCTTAATCTCAGGGTCATGGGTCTGCACCCCATGCTGGGCAAACCATTCCTGCTTTGTGGGGGATTGGACTACATGACCCTCGTGATTCCTTCCAACTCTATGATTCTATGAGATGGGAATAATGAACCTCCATATTTCTGCTTGCCAATCCCATTTATGAAGCCACTTACAAAGGAATGTGGAAGTTCCGCAAGTTTGCACTGGCTTGGATCCCAAGAATGCGAGTGGAAGAAAGTTTGTGAAAGGCAGCTTCTGCCTGATTTTGTACAATTCCCTCTTGCCACTGGAACTCCTCACCCCCCATCTTAAGCCATTCAGTAGGTAATCCTGAACCTCTGGATAAGTTTTTTGGGGAAGCAAGGGGCTGCAGGAGGAAAGTCCCCTTCCACAAACTTCCTCCCACTTGTGGTTCTCAGTTGATGTACTCAACCTGCTGAAGGGATATGTATGTCACATTAAGACCTAAACCTATCGACCTGGGAATATGCCCTTTTGAATTTAAGGGAACATTTCTGAGATCGGACTCAGTGAAAGGCAGCTTCCTATGTTGTTCCCACTTAGGATTGTTCGTATGACAATGAATGAAAGCCTTTTGTGACAACTGAATGCTGTCTAAGTGCCATGTCAATTTATATTTTTTACCATTAACTGAGCCAGCATCTCTGCTGTACACAAAATCAAAACATTTGGGGAACTGCTGGTGCCTTACATTTGGCAGCTTAATTAAAAGTAAGAGCAAAAGTAAGCTTTTTCTAGGTTCATTCACTTAATGAATGAACATCTTTTCCTTCCAGATTTATTTTAATACGGGTTCTGTGCTGTTCCTGTCTACCATTCCTCCTCCCCAGTTGCCTTACCAAAACAAAACTATTGACTTGAGTAGAGATTCATGGCATGTGTGCTTTTTAAAGACAACCAATAAAATTTACAGCCACTTTTGCTAAAGTGATGCCCGTTTCATGTTTCTCAGCTGTATGTATTCATAGAGTGTCTCTCAAATGCCAAATGGAAAAGGAAGATAAGGAAAGATGTAGAGGGAGAAGATTAAAATAATGAAAACTTAAAACTTTTAAAAGGAGATATGCTTTCTGAAATGTCCTCTAGTAAGAAGTTCTAGAATAATAACTGTAATTATAGATTGAAAAATGTTGGTTCAAAAGCAATAATTCAGCAAATACTTTTCTATAACCATTCACACTCATTTTTATGCTTCAATCCCAAGCATATTGTCAGGGGTTCAGAGAGAGAGGCACAGGGTAGGCAGGAGATGGAGAGCGAGGGGGAGGAATTCCAAGCCAGCGAGGAAGAGGATGACAATGACTCAAGGGATTCCATGAGTCTTTCCAGCGAATCAGAGGATTCCCAGAAGGGGGCGCCGGTGGTCAGGGCCAGGGAGCCCCAGGGGAAGTGTCAGGAGCAGGGTGCCAGCGGAGGATCCCAAAGTGGCAGCTGGGCGTCAGGACCAGCCTCCCCACCAAAGTGCAGCGAAGGGGGTGGAGTTTCCAGTGTGTCAGAGGAAGCAGCTCCAGCAGCAGAGAGAGGAGGGGGGTCAGAGCATGCAGGCCTCCCGGCAGGCGAGGGGAGCAGTGAAGGGAGTAGTGTAACTGTCAAAAGGAAAGTTAGAGGTTTGGCGCGCGCACCTAGTTCAAATGTAGAGGCGCGCGGAAGTGCAGGGAGCCCGGAGGAGGGGCCAGGTCCCAAAGCCCGCAGGAGGGGGGAAGAGCAGTCTGGGGATTCAGCGTCAGAGGAATCCAGAAGGGGCGCAACCCCAGGGGGGGGGAGAAGGACCCTGCGGAAAAGGAAGGAGAGAAAGAGGTGGAGCAGCGCAAGTCTCTTAAATTGGTGCAGAGGAGGGAGTGACTCAGAGGGGACTTCGGCGGTCTAGCGTAAGAGACGTAAGGCTGCGCGCCTAGGATGTCAAGCAAACCATGAACTGCAATAAACACCTTTGTATACAAGAAGACGTAGGCGTTGGTCTTTTGTGAGCTAAGACTTGAGGCAGCCTTGACACATATATATTTAGAAATTAATTCTAATTGAACTTTTGTATTTGTATCCTACCATTAGGATACTTGAGATGTTATACACAGGTTTTCTCAACCTGATGCCCTCCAGATATTTTGGACTACAACTCCCATCAGCCTAGACACATAGAGTGTCTCTCAAATGCTGTTTTGGTTGGGGTTGATGGGAGTTGTAGTCAAAAACATCTGAAGGACCTCAGGCTGGGGGAAGGCTGCTGTACAGAATAGCAGAGACAAAAGACAGGTCTCTGCCTCATGAAGTGTACATTCTACATTAAAATAGGGAAAGACAATGGGAAGAGGAAACAGAAAGGAGCAGGTGTAAAAAAGAGCAGAAACAGAGTGGATGGTGTGTTGTGAAGCACTACTGACCTGACCTCTGGTTGGTTGTGTCACTGCTGCTTACTGGGAGATAGAGGGTGAGGGGGCAGTGACCAAATCCAGCTCTCCTGCTGATGCATTACTGCATTTACAATGCACCAACTTCCCCCTGCCCCCACCACACCAATAAGCAGTAACATTTTCACTGTTTGGAGGATATTATGAGGGCAGAGGGGGTCAAAGGACTTCCGGGTCTGCACCATCGGCAATGGCGGATTTCCTCTGAATCAGAGGAATCTGCTCCGTGGGAATCGGGTCTTGCCACCGCGGCGAAGGCGGGGACCCCTCAAAAATCACAGGCGGGTGAAGCCTGTGAACGTGGGATTCGGCGGGCACCATCAGCGCCCCCCCTACTCGCGGGGAAACCCATTTTCAGGAGTCCGGAGCGAAGTGGGGTGAGCAGCGCGGTGCTTTGAAGTGACTGCTACTTCCACGGAGTGAAGCTGCACAGCCGTTGCCGGAGAGCACTGACTTTTTCCTGTTGACAATTGGATCTAAAAGTAATCACCCGTGAGTAAAGTGAAGTATTGGACCTTTAAAAAAGTTGATTTTGGCAACGAACGGGGGAGGTTTAAAACAGGAAGTCTGCCTCCTTTCTTGTAAATAGTAGGAAGCAAAAAGGTTTAAACTAAAGCCTTGGAAAGTCTACTTCCAACGATTAAATTACCGGCATTAAAAATAGCAAATCCCCCCTTTGGAAGCAGGAGAGGAGGGGGGAGAGTTTTTGGACAATATTTGCCTGCTAAAAGAGACGGAAAGAAGCTAAATTTCCACCGCTCAGAACCTGGGAACGAGATAGCATTAAGACTGTTGTACTTTGGAGTTCTGCATAGACTGTGACTAGGCTGCTCATTGACAGCCAATGAAACAAGAGTGATACATTGTTTTACCTATCCTCTTCTGACCAAATAAAAGGAACTGAGTAACAAATAGTTGAGATTTGATACTAAATAGACTGGTGCAATTGTTCTGGGGGGGGAAAGTGACATTTTGGACTAATATAATATAAATAGTAGCCATTTCCCTCGAGAGGAAGACTTTGAAACTGCTACAAGGTTTGGAATTTTCCAACACTAAAGATAAGATTCTGGGACTGGGAAATTGGCCTTGAAAGGATTAAGTGTTATGGCAGATGGAAAAGAAAAATTAGATCCGCCAAGTCAAGACAAAACAACAAGGTCTGGGAAGGTTTGGTGAAGAGTTTCCACATCCGGCCCTTCTGCTTCTTCTGTGACTGTATCAACTAAACCAAAGGCAATGATTGCAGATGAGGCCCTGGCCCTCACTTTGAGTAAAATTAATGAATCTTTGGAACAAATGAATAAAAAATTAGACCAGAATACACAAAGTATAAATAGTCTGGGACAAAAAGTTAACTCAAATACAGAAGCCATTGAGAAATTGATCCAGGAGTCTAACTCAACTCGACAGATCGCAGAGGAAGCTAAGGAAAAAGTTGTGGCTGTGGAAGCAAAGGTAACTCAGTTGGAAACAGAGAGAGTCCCAGACCTTCAAAAACAACTTGAGGACCATAGGCTGGTGCTTTCTATGGTTGAGCTTAAGGAAAAACAGACAAATTTGAGAATTAGAGCTGTACCTGAACTGGAGAAAGACTCCCTGATAGACTATCTTATGGAGCAATTTGCAGAAAATTGGGAGTTGGATCTGGAAAAAGAGGAATTTAAAATTGTGAGAGCCTTTAGACTGGGAAGAGGAGGGAAGAAGGAGAAGACCAGAATAAGAGATTGTTTGATTACCCTCCAGTCTAAAGAAGAGATAGACAAAATCTTGGGCTGGCATTACGAGAAGACTTTGGTAATAAATCAATCAAGAGTGGAAATTTTTAAGGATATCCCAAAACATCTTTTGGACCTCAGGTTCAACTTTGGAGATTTGGTTTCCTTGTTGAGAGAGAACAAGATCCTTTTCAGGTTGGAATTCCCTCAAGGCCTATCCTTCAGCTTCAAAGGAAGGAAAATAAAAATAAGATCAATAGAAGAAAAAACAAAATTTCTGTATAAATACGAAGAAGATTTACAGAAGGGAATTGGAAAAGTGCCAACAGCATTGGACAGAAGATCACCAGATAGAGGATCAGAGCAAAGAGCATTGGAGAAAAGATCACCAAACAGGGAAACATTGGACATAACGAGACTATCTTTTGGATTGGACCCCCCAGCGAACGTCCCAACATTACTACCAACAGAAGAGGAGCAAGTATTGGGGGCAGTTGGGGGGATACCAAAGTAACTACATGATGGGGCTGCAGGTCTTGAGCTGGAATGTGAATGGACTCAACAGCCCTGAAAAAGGCGGAGAGTATTTCATTTATTGAAAAAAGAGCATTTGGACCTGATTTGTCTACAAGAAACACATGTGACAAGGTTACACAGGAAGCTACTGAATAATAAAAGATTAGGTCAAGAATTTATCTCATCGGATAAAGTAAAAAAAAGAGGAGTGGTCCTCTATGTAAAGGAGAGTCTATCACCAAAATTTATCTTCAAAGATGATTAAGGAAGGTTTATAGCAATTGAAATTCAAACGCAAGGAGAAAATTTTTTGATAATAGGTATTTATGCACCAAATGAAGGAAAATCGGAATTTTTTAAGAAGCTACATGAGACTCTGATGGACTATATGGA